TGTTATAACAAATACTTTATTTACTCTGTACTATTATCACTTATTTTCAATATTAGGAGTGATGATTTACATCTCTAGAGCCTATTTATGAAAACTGATGTATTTACACAAATAGAAAAAGATGTCAGAAAAACACTTGAGAAATCAGTCTTAAAGTTTAGATTTGTTTGAGTTTAGAGGAAGGCCTTCAGGCATTTTTTTATACATGCTAAAGACAAAAAATCCATAAAAAGGTGTCCTTGAAATTTCTCTATCTCAAGACAAAATCAAACTTGTACAGAAAACATTTATTTTAGGAATCTACACAACATGATACTCTACATGGAAGACCCCAAAAACTCCACCAAAAGACTCCTAGAATCAGTAAACAAATTCAGTAGCATAGCTGGATACAAAGTCAACACTCAAAAATCAATAGAATTCCTGTACATAAAAACCAAACTCACAGAGAGACAAATTAGGGAAATAATAACCTTCAAAATAGCCTCCAAAAAAATGAAATACTTAGGAATCAATCTAACAAAGGAAGTAAAAGATCTATACATTGAAAATTATAATAATCTGAAAAAAGAGATCATAGAGGATATCAGAAAATGGAATGATATTCCTTACTCATGGATAGTAAGAATCAACATTGTGAAAATAGCCATATTCCCAACACTGTTGTACAGATTTAATGCAATGCCGATCAAAATATCATTAGCATACCTCACAGATCTCGAGAAAATGTTCCTAAAATTCATTTGGAACCAGAAAAGACCTAGAATAGTAAAGGCAATCCTGGGCAACAAAGGCAAGGCAGTAGGCATCACAATCCCTGACTTAAAATTATACTATAAAGCTATTGGCAGCCAGGTGTAGTGGCGCACACCTGCAGGAGGAATGTTGTGAGTTGGAGACCTGCCTGGGCTATAAAGTGAGCTCAATGCCAGCCTGAACTGCATAGCAAGACCCTATCCCAAAAAGACTAAACCAATCAAGCAATCAATCAAACAAAGCTACTGCCAAAAAAACTGACCTCAGATCAATAAAAAGATTAGAAGATACAGACACTTCTGCAAACACACTCAGATACCTTATCTTTGATAAAGAGGCCAAACATGTGCATTGGAAGAAAGATAGTTTAATAAATGGTGCGGGAAAAACTGGCTTTTCCCAGGCCCAAAACTAAAACTAGATCCATGTCCATCAACATGCACTAAAGTCAAAATGGATTAAAGATCTAAATACTAAAACAGAAACACTAAATCTACTGGAAGAGGAAGTGGGTAGAAATCTTGAAGATATAGGGGTAGGTAGAGAGTTCATGAACAAAAACTGAACTGCAAGGGAAATACTTCAAAGAATCAACAGTTAGGATCTCATCTAATTAAAAAGCTTTTCAACAGCAAAAGAAATCACCAACAGAGTGAAAAGAAAACCCACAAACTGGGAAAAAATTTTAGTCAACTGTCCCTCATATAAAGGACTTCCATCTAGAATAAAGAATTTAAAAGGTGAGGCCTCCCAAATTCAAACACCCAATCCAAAATGGGCATCTGAGATGAATACACACTTCTCAGATTAAGAAATGGAAATAGCAAATAAATATATGAAAAAATGTTCAACAGCACTGGTCATTCGAGAAATACAAATTAAAACAACACTGAGATTCCATCTAACCTCAGAAAGAATGGCTATCATCAAGAAATGAACCAATAACAAATGCTGGCGGTGGTGTGGGGAAATAGGAACCCTTCTCCACTGCTAGTGGGAATGTAGACTGGTACAACCACAGTGGAAATTAGTATGGAGATTCCTCAAAAAACTAGGATTAGAAGTTCCATTCCACCTAGCTATTCCCCTTCTGGGTGTTTTCCCAGAAAAAATGAAAACATCATAGCACAGCGATATATGTGCACCCATGTTTATAGCAGCACAATTTGTAATAGTTAAATCTTGGAAACAACCTAAATACTCATCAAACAAGGAACGCATAAAAAAGACGCGGTATTTTTATACAATGGAGTATTACTCAGCTATAAAGAAAAACTCGAGGCTTTTTATAGGTAAATGGATGTAACTAGAGACCATACTCATAATTGAAACAAATCAGAATCGCATGTGTAAACATCATGTTGTCTCCCTAGTATAAGAAACTGAAAGAGTAAATAAGATCCAAAAGGAACAGTAGATATAGTGAAAGGGAAAGAAGCTGCTCAAAAGGAAAGAACAAACAGAATGGGGGAAAAGAGAAAAGAAGAAAGGAAAAAAAAGAGATGTATATATACCCAAGATAGCTAAGATAATTATGCTACTAATTTGTATTAGATCATTGAAAGGAACAGTTAGTATTTATATTGCTTGATCAATCTTACATGCCTGTACCTGGTAATCTGAGCAACTACTTTGAAGATAACAATATGCGATATAATAACCATTGCTAATTTCCTATCATCTTGTTTTGAAATTCCATATTCTTTTTATTGGATTTTTTGGTCTCTTTAAAATTAAAAAAAAAAAAAAATCTACACAGTATACTTGTCTGCTATCACAAGTTCATACCACAAATGTTACCCTTTATAGGCTGTATAAAATTAGAAGTCATGTAACATTTTACTCTTTATTAAAATGAATCAGTCTGGACTCAGGCAATGAGTCCTATGTGAGTGATTTTAGATATAGTTCTAATCTTCATGGGGCTGCTATATATCTTTAAGTTAAAGTTTCCTATGATGTGTTTACTCTTTAAGATTTACTCTATTATTTCATTAATTTTAAAAAGAGTATTAAATAATGACAAGCCAAAGCACAGGGAATAATGGAATTCTAGAATTTCATAAATACAAAAGCCATTGTCTGTCCTGTTTTTCTTCCCCTAGGTAGGAGACTTTCTTGGCATCAGATCAAACAAATGAATGGTTCCAACTTAAACTATCTCATTTAATTCCTTCTAAGCTTCTTTTTTCATAATGCTATGTTCAGGGTACTATCAAAAGAAAACTAATAAGCACTCATTATAACTAAAATAGAGGCAAAGCATTAAAAAAGGGAGACATGAAAAAGCTGGTATACCCCAAAAGGAAACATTCAATTCCACATGTAACCACGTGGAATATCTAGAGTCTAATAATAATGATACCAGTAACAGTTTCTTTATCAAAGTATATTTAAAAATAATGAAACTGCAGTTGAGGACAACCAGTGAACAAAAAAATTGCATTTTAGAATATAAGCAATCCAGGGCCAGTGAGATGGTTATAAAATACTATGTTTAACCAAGAACCAAACAACCGCATAAGACCTGTGAAGCCACCAAGAGTATTGCTTCCAAAATTTCTGTTTCATTCATGTTCACCTTTTTGGGTTCTTCAGGCAACAAGTTAACTCATTAATTTTCCCCATATACGGGGAAAATAAAATAGCAAAACCCTAAATTTAAATGAATGTGACATCAACCCCAACACTATAGGGGCATCCTCATTCATGAACACAGCTTCACTCAGGGAGAAGAACCTCTTAGAGCATGCTCATATTCAGATTAAAAGGCAAGATTCAATTACAGATAATAACTCTTGCAATATAAAGTATACCTCGGCTTCTAAAAATACTGTTTTCCTAAGGCTTTACTGTTCCATAGAGTTCAAAATGTTATGTTACAAACAGAAAAACTAATTACAGAACATGGACGTTACAGAACAATGTACCTCCTCAAGTTCTGACCAGTCTTAAGGTTCTCCCCTCTTTTTGGGCAGACAAGTACATTTATCAATCAGCCTACTCTTGAATGGGTAACAATTTCTGGTTATTTTACAAGGAAACATGTTAAAATACACAATGAAGGACAGTCTTAAGGAAAAAATAAGAAGCAGGTGATTTAGAAAATCATTTCAAGAGCTGGTACCATCAGTCACCTGTCAATTGATCTAAGCAAGCTATTTATTATCTGTGGTTCAATTTACTCCTCTATCAAATGATAATGCTTCCTTTACAGGGTTTTTCTGAGGGAAAAAAAATGAGAGAATAAATATTAAAGTAGTTAAAAAAGTAGAAGTACTATAACAGACTAATTACTAGCAAATTTAAAACTCTAAAATCACTCCCTTGATATAATTCTTCTTGATACATAGAACTGAAAATTCTATTGCTTTGTTTTATAAAAGAGACCATATATAAAAGTACATTAATATATATATATATAAAACAAAAAGTAATAATTTTTAACAGACACTTTATATATCACTCTTCTTAAGAAATGTAATACTACTAAAACCTTGGAGAATCCCATGTACTTGTCCATCTTATTTCTTTTCATTCATTCCAGGCCATTCTAAATTTTGTGCTAATCACTTCCTTGCTTTTATTTATAATATTATCACACCTATGTGTGTGCCTAAGTCCTTTTATCTATCCAATCATTCATCTCTCTTCCAACAGCCACTCATCCACCCTATTCTGCTCTTGGGTATGTATGTGTGCTATATGTACTTGTCCTTCAACTTCTGTTTTTCTCGTAGCAATTTCATAACTTACTGGTAATATGTAACATAAATGTATTAAATTTTATCAAAGCAGGAAAAGTGAGGTACAATAAAGTTTTCAAATTGCCACATTTATGAGAGGATAATCTTCCTACAATAATTCTAAAAGTTAAACAAACCCACGATTGTCTCAGAGTTTTATAGCACATTCATATATTTAACTTTAAATGAAAACATTACTCCGGTGATAGAAACAAAATTATTTCATATTGACTTTATATAGCTGGTAATTTTTGCTTTCATATTAAAGGGGAAAGTGTCTTTAAAAAATGGTGATGGCATAAAATCCCTAAATAATATTGAAATATTTCCATAAAAGGAAAACAAGAACAAATTAATTAAAGACTAGCAAAAGAAGATTTTTCTTTTAAGATATGTACTATACACAGCAAATAGCCCTACTCTGTAATATGCTCATTAAAGATGGCTCCTGAAATAGGTAATTAGTCTGACATTAATCAGTCCAAAGATCTGATTCACCTGAGCAAGTGGTGGAAGAATCTCCTTGCATATTTGCTGATTTTGTCTCTGTATTCCAAGATAGTTGTATCCAGGAGTGGTCTTGATGGCGCATAGAAGGTTCCAAGGCTTGCCTCAAGCTGTGCTGTGGAATTCAAACATAGCAGCATTGAAACAAGTGAAACTCCTTTAATAATAACAGAATACTCATGTTTGCAGTCAGTCAGGTTTTGCAAACTTGGATGAAATGTGAGCTTGTTGCAGGAAAGATGAAATTAAAGTATGACAGCTAGTACAAAAACAAACCTGTGTATAAACTTTCACTTAAGGCAAAGCTGACAATGACTCTGAGCAACAAAAAGCTGTCAAAACTGAAAAAATCCATAATGAGCCAACTTCTCACCACAAATGGGTAATTAAAACAGTGACTCATCAAAATAACACAGTTTGAATTAGTATTTCCAGTAAAATCAACTCTCACTGTACTCAACATTTACTCTAGCTAAAGGAGAAAACCTTTTTACAAGGTGAAATGAAATCAGCTGTAAAACTCAATAACAATGTCTTCAAAAATAATACAAATAAAAAGAGCCAAGGTAGGACAGACTACCCACGGCAATTTTAAGAGAACACAACTCCCTATATGATGTCCTGCCCTAAAAAACAAGATTCACACATGTGTGAAAACTAATACCATGGGAGAGAAAAGAAGGATTGGAAAATGGGATTTGATAAACAAGGGTACTACGAGATTAGGGGTACAGGCACATTTTGTCTGCTTCACAGTTTTACCAAGACATGCCTGTGGGGCTGTGCTTCCCCATGGAAATATCTAAAGTTGAGTTACTTATTACAAGAGTGAGGCTATTGAGTACTTATGAGAACACTTCAGTTCACAGAGTCATTTTTATGCTACTAGCACAACACTGAATAAACAATTTGTTGTTTAGCAAAACTCTTTAGCTTTTGGCATATTTGGGTTTAGAAGTATTAGACACCTCATCAGAGTAATTGCTATGGACTTGGCTAAGCTGTCAGTAATTTCTTTCTTTTTAAAATCTCAAATCTAGACAGTAAAGTAACATGAACTTTAGAGGTATTTTCTTTCAAAGCAGCAGTCAATTTAGATTAAAATTGAATACAGCAATGCTATTGAAAAACAAGCCAGATTCTCTTGCCATTGCTTGTTTTCTTGACAGCATGTTTCGTAGATCTGAAATGTTCAAACCTACGTGGAACACGCATAACTCCCAGCACAGTTACAGATTCATTAGATAGCTCAGCTTGATGTTTAAGGAGGAAATGAAGATCTCAAAAGATAACCACAACATGGCTACAAATAAAGACCTCACTAGGTTCCACTAATAAAAGGAAAACAAATTACCATGTCAAATTTGTTAGATTCAGATAGAATAAATCTCAGCAGAGACTTCTGAATGTTTTAAAAATATGTTTTGCAGTTACGTGGGCAGAGGGGGGAGATGCACGTATCTACTTAAAATGTACACAGTCTGGTAACTCAGCATCATGTAAGCATTTTGATAGTCTAATATCCCAAAAGTATTTTATTTCTCCACCTCTCCAACACGGTTGCTTGAAAATTTCTTTTACTGATGCAAGAATCTGACAATGGGGCCGGGGATTTAGCTCTGTGGCATAAGCACCTGCCTGGCAAGAGCAAGGTCCTGAGTTTGATTTCCGGTACTAAAAAAAAGCAACAAAAAAAGAATCTGACAATGCCCATTTGTGTATTCCCTAATAATCTTTCTTACACTACAGTACTCATAAAACATAAATGCACTATGATGCTAGTAATTTTTCAATGCCCTGAGTCAATATTTTACCTTTTCCATATTTCTTCTTTTACTGTAAATTTAGATATCTTGTATATATTATGAATATCACATAGGCTTTTTTTAGGGTCTTTTTTTTTAGTATATATTAAATCTTCAGAGTACATCAATACAAAAAAATGATTACCTGAGATAATTCTGTACACAGAAATGTTACAATAATACCAGGTACCCTCAAATCTTTGAATTCTACTTTTTATTTTTATTTATTTACCTAGTAGTCAGTGAGTACCTACTATGTGCAAAGCACTGTTCTGAGCATTTTCTTAATGTGAAAATACTGTAGTCTCCATAGATGCAACTGGAATACTTCCAAATAATCCAGTTACTTACAGAATTCTACCTCAGCAACTTATTTTGGAAATATAATAAGATGGAATAAGAAAATCTATTAAAAATGCACAGAAAATGGAAAGAAAATGCTCTCTAGTAAGGATCTTTTGACCTATATCTTTCTCTTTTACAAATTACCTAGGAACAGTTTCTCATTGGCTATGATTTTCCATCATCAATATCAATATTGTTACCACAAAGACATAAAATGAAGATGCAAATGCCAGAATGTTCTGGTACATTTTACATTATGTAGATGAATGACTGATCAAAGTATCTACTACACAACTGGCAAGCTAGAGTTCTTTTCTCTTTTTAGTGTCTTATCTCTCTTTTGACAATAAACATCTGGGTTCCCCATGGGTAAAATTACTTACTGAGTAAAGGTGGAGAAATCCAATCAGGGAGCAGGGAGAAGAGTGTCAAAAGCACAAGTTAAATGAATGCAAACAGGAAGGATCAGCCTGGACTACAGTTCTGATATATAAAAAAAGTGAATGCTAATGACTATTGTCTGCACAGATGACTTGGGTGTGACAAAAAGTGTTCATGTCTCAGTGAGGGAAGAATAAAGACCTTTGTTTAGGGCCCTTTGTCTACCAGAGCCAAAGAGTATGTGAAATTTCTGATCAAAGTTTGAAATCTAAGCATATTCCACACGAGCTTACAGTGAACTGTACAATGACCGCATTGTAAGTCTGAACATAAGCATATACAGAAAAGCTGCTTGTTATGTTGACAAATTTCTACAGTGAATACTGTACAGGAGTAATTATTTGATAGATGATCCTTTCTGTGTTAATAAAGCATTAACATCTTTCTCTTTCAACCTCCAGTGACATAATTTTAAAACATCCAAGAAAATCAAGCGACTCAAAAAATCTACTTCACATATACATAAAACCAATTTAAGAAACCCATTCTGACCTTCTCTCTCCGGAGTGAGTCTCTGCCTAAGAAGATGGTTCACAATGGCAGTCATGCTGATAAAGCACTGCTGGCCCACAGTGTCCCAGTTCATGCCGCTCAGGATGTTTATTGCTTCACAGATCTCACCGTAGTGAATGTACTGGAAGATGATGTCTACCGGGCCCAGCTGTCCTTGAGTGAGGATACCTGTCAGAGAATATAAAACCAAGTGAATATTTTAAAGTACAAAGTAGAATACAGAATTAACTTTTCCACATAAAAAAACATAGTAATAATTTCTTACACAAGGATTAGAACTGTGGGATTGATCCCTTCCACAACTAATGTTTGCTATAAAATACCTTAGTACAATGGGAGCACATTTTCACCTTTTAAAAAGAAAGAAAATCTTAAAGGACTAAGAGGGTTAAAAAAATTCAGGAGAAGGTATTCTGTTATGGGTTTATTTTACTGTCCATGGAAAGGTTTATCTCATTTGAAATTAAGAATTTCTCTGTGCTAACTGACAATAAACATTAGAGACTTCAAATACATTTCTATTTTTTTTTTGCAGTATTTAAAAATGGTTAGCTGTAATTTTTTTTTCCAGCCATTTACTTTGAGCTGGTTTGAACAAGTCTATAAAAAGAGCCCAATCATGAGTTAAATAAGAACATATATGTGAAATTACTGCCCTAATTATCCAAAGCAATAAAAGTTCACTATTCTCTCTGGTAGAATCAACAAATGTGACTATCCAAAGCTTTCATGAGCCTTAAGTCAGTCACTGTAGCTCTTCACAAATCAGAGTAGCCACTTGGCAGCAGATACTAATATGTCGGCAGAGAAAGTCTCTCTTATCACTTCTATTTAACACTGAACTCAATGTCCTGGGTCAATGATGGTGAACCTTTTAGAGACAAGTACCCAAACTGCAACCCAAAGCCCATTTATTTATCACAAAGTGCCAACAGGGCAATTAAACCTGAATATTGAGGTTTTAGTTTAGAAAAACAAGCCACACATTAACATCTGTCTTAAAAACAACACACATGCCAGAGGTTCACCATCACTGTCCTAAATAATGTAACAAAGGAAGAAAATGAAATTTAAAAATATAGATTAAGTAGAAAGATGTAAAACTGTTTTTAATCTAGTTGTCACATTTTATAAAATATTTTTCAGAAGCAAATAACAAGAGAATAACAATACTTTTTATATTATGTATCATTATCTTCAAAGTACTTACTCAAAATAAGACATAAAACAAAAAGATTCTCACAAGAAAAAAAACACAAATCTTCCTTTCAATGAACTAAGATAAACTATTAGTATAAATTAAAAAATTAACATATATATTGAAATATATATATATTTTAAAATGGAATATGTAATTTGGGGAATATCTAAACTTCTATTTCCTATATATCCCTCTTCTATTTTGCTCTCATATATATACATACAGGGAGAGTAAGACAGAGGGAGCAGTGGGCGAGGGAGATTCTCATGTAAGAGAAACCATGTGATATGTGACCTAGTGTGTCGGACTTATTTCACTTAACATTACGTTCTCAAAATGCATTCATTTATTTTGGAAAGCCTCAAGTTTATCTTTCTTTATGGCAGATAGTACTCCATTGTGTACAAATACTACATTTTCCATATTCATTTATCTGTTAATGGATATGTATGTTGTTTCTAAGATCTAGGTATTATAAACTGTGCCACCATAAACATGGTTATGCATGTATCTCTGTAATATCATGATTTTAAATCTTTGGGAAAATAGCTAGGAGAGGGATAACTGGGTCAAATGGAATTTCCAGTTTCAGTTTTTTGAGGAATCACCACACTGATTTCCACAGTGGCTGTACTAGTTTACATTTCCACCAACAATATTGTAGAATTTCTTTTTCTGAATATCCTCATCAGTATTTGTTATTACATTTTTTGATGATATCCATTCTTTCAGGGGGTAAGATGGTACTCAGTGTAGTTTTAATTTGCATTCCTCTGATAGTCAGAAATAATGAATATTTTTCATGTACTTCTTAGCCATATGTGTTTCTTTTGAGAAATATCTATCCATTTTGGTTGCTTATTTTGCACTGGGTCTTTGATTTTGAGGAGTCTGCTTTGTTTTGAATTCTATATATATTGTAGATCTTAGTCCTCTCTCCAAGGAATAGCTGAAAGTATTTCCCTATTCTGTAGATTCTACCTTCACTACATTGGTTGCTTCTTTTGCTGTGCAGAAGCTTTTTAAATTGATATGATCTCACTTTTTTTTTGTTTGTTTGTTTGTTTGTTTTCTGGTACCGGGAATCAAACTCACAATCTTGTGCTTGCCAGGCAGGTGCTGTGCTGCTGAGCTAAATCCCCAGGCATGATCTCACTTGTTGATTCTCAGTATTGTGTGCCACTGGGGTTCTGTCTGGAAAATCCTTGCCTATATCAAGAATTGTACCTATTTTATTTTCTACAAGATTGTTTCTATATTAACATTTATATTTTTGGCCCATTTTTATTTTAGTTTAATACCTCATGAGATACATGAGTGTAGACTCCTGAAAATTGGGAGAGCCAATTTTCCCACCACTATTTATTAAAAAGGATATCTTTGCTTCAGTGTGTTTTTGTCTAAGATCAAATACCCTTCTGTATGCTTGGGCTGCTTCTGCTTCTTCTATTTCGTTCCACTGATCTACATGCATGCTTTTGTGCCAGTACCATGCTGTTTTAATGACTGTAGCTTTGTAATATAACTTCAAGTCTAGGATTATGATACTGCCTGCTTTGCATTTGTTACTCAGGACTGCATTAGCTATTCTCAATCTATTCAGATTCCATAAAAACTTCAGGACTGTTTTCTCCAGCTCTTTCAGAAATGACACTGGTATTTTGATTGGGATTGCTTTAAATCTGTACAGTATATCTGTTTTAGAAGTATAGACATTTGGATTATGTTGGTTTTGTCTATGCAGGAACATATTTTTCCATTTTCTCATGTCATCAATTTCCTTTTTAAGTCAGATGTAATTTTAACTGTAGATGTCTTTCACTTCCTCAGGTTGATACCTAAGGACTTCATGTCTTTTTTTTTTAATGCTATTGTGAATAGTATTGTTTTCCTAATTGCTTTTTCAGTGATTTCTTTAGGAATGCTCTCTCCATTCGATCTTACTATATCACTACATTTGTTTATCAATTCTAGGAGTCTTCTGAAATTAGTTTTTTGGATTTTGTAAGTAAAGGTTCATGTCACCTGCAAACAATGAGAATTTGACTTCACTTCCCATGATATATAAACCTTTCATTTCTTTCTCTTGTCTGATGGCTCTGGCTAACGTTTCAAGGATTATATTGAACAGGATTGGTGATAATGGATATCCTTGTTTAGTTCCTGATCTTAGAGGGAAGGCTTTCTTTCACCTTTTCCCCATTTAATGTGATGTTGGCAGCAGGTGGGTCAAAAGTGGCTTTATCATTTTGAGATAAAGACCCGCTATACCTACTTCTTTGGGCTGTTATCATGAATAAATGCTGACTTTTGTCAAAAGCTCTTTTTGAATCTATTGAGATGATCATGTGGGCTTTGTCCTTGTTTCTATTTATGTGATGAATTACATTTATGGATTTGTGTGTGTTGAACCCTGCTTGCATGCCTGGGATGAAGCTTTCTTGGTCATGGCGTGTGATCTTTTTGATGATTTCTCCCATTCTGTTTGCCAACATCTTGTCAAGGATCCTTGCATCTAGGTTTATTAGAGAATTTGGCCTAAAATTCTTTTTTATGACTGAATCCTTGTCTGGTTTGAGGATCCAGATACTGTTAGCATCCAAGAATGATTCAGAAATATTCTTTTCCTCTCAATTTCTTAAAGCAGTTTGAGGAGTATTGGTGTTAGATCTTCCTTCAAGTCCTGTAGAATTTAGCTGTGAATCCATCAGGTCTTCAGCTTTTCTTAGCTGGTAGGTTTTTTTTTTTTTTATTATTACTGCTTCAATTTCATTGCCTATGATTGGATTGGCCAATATTTTAAAGTCTTCTTGGTTCAGTTTTGGCAACTCATGTGTATGTAGGAATCTCTTCATTTCTTCTGAGTTCCTCAGTTGATTAGCATATACGTTTGTGAGGCAGTTGCCAATACTTTCCTGGATTTCAGCAGTGTCCATTGAGCTTTCACCTTTTTCATTTCTAATAACATTAACTTGTGTCTTTTCCTTCCTTTTTTGAGTAAGATTGGCTAAGGGTTTGTCTAATTTATTTATTCTCTCAAAGAACAAGCTCTTTGATTCTTTGCATTGTCTTGCTAGTCTCCATTTCATTAGTTTGTGTTCTGATCTTTGTAATTTCCTTCCTTGTACAAGTTCTGGGGTTGAAATGTTCCTGTTTCTCTAAAACCTTGGGATGCATAATTAAGTTATTTGGGGGGCTTGTTCTACTTTTCTAATGTGAGCACTCATTGCTCTAAAGGAGGACCACTTGTATTGTGTCTCATAAGTTCTGATATGTGGTACTGGCACTATCATTTAATCCTAGGAACTGCTTTATTTCTTCCTTAATTTCCTCTGTGACCTACTGATTATTCAAGAGTGTGCTGCTTAATTTCCATATGTTTGGATAGTTTCTGTGGTTTCTTTTGCTATTTCGAGTTTCATTACAATGTGATCTGATATTATGCATGTTATAATTTTAAATTCATTTGCATTTGCTTAGGCATGCTTTATTCATTGGTTTGTGAACTATTATGGAGAAAGTAGCATGTGTAGCTGAAAAGAATGTGTCTTCTGTTGTTTGGTGGAACAGTCTATATACCAATTGTCCATTTGTCTAAAAGTCTGGTTCAATTTTGACATTTCTTTGTTGATTTTTTAAATTCAGTTGATTTATTTGTGATGTGGGTATTAAAATTCCTCATTATAATCACATTGATGCTTATCTGATCTTTTATGTCCAGTAGAGTCTGTTTTATGAAGTTGGGTGCACTGTGGTTTGGTGCATACATGTTCATAATTGTTATCTCTTCCCGTTTAACACAGTGGACCCTCAGTTCATGAACTTAATTCTGCCCATGTTTCTGGTCACAAACCAAGTTGGATGAGAACCAAATCAAATTTCTCTATAAGGTCAACAATGAACCTAACCACTGAATTTGATTTAATGTCCTTCTTTGCCTCTTTTGATCAGTTTTGGCTTGAAATCC